AACTGAACTCTAGCCAGTTTAAACTTGAAGTGCAATTTCTAAACTGCGACTGTGCCTTCATTTTTAATATTTCAGAGGCATACTATGCATCAAACTGTAGGTCTGGGTCTTGTGATTCTCACAATATAAAGCTCTTCGCTGTAGGATTTATAGTTTTTAAAATACGACCGTTTGAAGATGGCAACCGCCAAAATACTGTGACCTGTGCCAGGCTGGAGCAGCAAGTAATGTCATAGACAGGGCCTTTTGTACACCTGCTAATGTTTTTATAAATGTATGTTTTAATCCCTTAAAACCAGAGGGCGTACTATTACGCTCTATTCTAATTGGCTCTAAACGCTGCAGGGCGTAATAGTACGCCCTCCTGTTTTTCTTACTTACCCAGGATCCTAGGGGGTCCCCCGCGGTGGATCCTGCCGCCTCCGGCCACGTAAGAGTGAGGTCCTTGCGAGGACCTCACAATCACATGGCCAGGTTAGTTGGCTGCTGCATTACCAGCAGGGGGACTGCTTGTAATGACAGTTAGTCCCCCTGCTGGCTGGAAATAAAATCAGTGTAAAAAAATAAATAAAATATATATACTTAGATCATACATACATATATATATATTTAGAGTGTGTGTGTATGTATGTATGTATATATATATATATATATATATATATATATATATATATATATATATATATATACATACACACACACATATATATATATACACACACACACACACAGTCTAGGTGTATTTTACTATTAAAATTATATATATATATCTATATATATATATATATATATATATATATACACACACACATATATATACACACACACACAGACTGATACTGATTAAATATATATATGTGTATTAAAAAATATTTTTATTTATATATAGATGTATATATATTATTTTGTTCTACGTGTATTTTGATATAAAGATATAAATATCACAATGTATGTATATATGTGTGTGTGTATATGTGTATTAAAAATATTTTTATTTATATATAGATGTATATATATTATTTCGTTCTACGTGTATTTTGATATAAATATATAAATATCACAATACAGTTAGAACGAAATAACATTTTTAAATTATTTATTTTTAATTATTTTAATTTTATTTTTAACATATTTAAATTTTTTTAGATTATATATAAATATATAGAACAATAATTATATATATATATATATATATATATAATTATTGTTCTATATATTTATATATAATCTAAAAAAATTTTAATATGTTAAAAATAAAATTAAAATAATTAAAAATAAATTTAAAAAATGTATTTCGTTCTAACGTATTGTGATATATATTTATATCAAAATACACGTAGAACGAAATATATATACATCTATATATAAATAAAAATATTTTTTAATACACATATATACACACACACACACACACACACACAAATATATATATATATATATATATATATAGATATATATATACACACACACACACACATTAATTCTACATATATTTATGTAATATTTTTACATAATTAGGTATTTTAATTAATTAGAATTAGCGGGACCTGCCTGACAACCCGTGCTGAAAGTATAGGGAATTTAATTTGCTAGCACTATATTTAATCCTATAACTTTCCAAGACACCATAAAACCTGTACATGGGGGGTACTGTTCTACTCGGGAGACTTCGCTGAACACAAATATTAGTGTTTCAAAACAGTAAAATGTATGACAACGATGATATCGCCAGTAAATGTGACTTTTTTTTTGCATTTTTCACACACAAACAGCACTTACACAGATGATATTATTGCTGTGATACTTTTTACTGTTTTGAAACAAATATTTGTGTTGAGGGAAGTCTCACGAGTACAACAGTACCCCTCATGTACAGGTTTTATGGTGTTTTCAAAAGTTACAGCGTCAAATATGAAGCTTGTGTTTCATTTTTTTCACATTAAAATTTGCCAGATTGGTTACGTTGCCTTTGAGACCCTATGGTAGCCCAAGAATGAAAATTACCCCTATGATGGCATACCATTTGCAATAGTAGACAACCAAGGTATTGCAAACAGGGTATGTCCAGTCTTTTTTAGTAGCCACTTAGTCACAAACACTGGCCCAAATTGGCGTTTTTTGCATTTTTCACACACAAACAAATATGAACGCTAACTTTGGCCAGTGTTTGTGACCAAATGGCTACTTAAAAAGACTGGACATACCCCATTTGCAATACCTTGGGTTGTCTACTATTGCAAATGGTATGCCATTATGGGTGTAAATTTAATTCCTGGGCTACTATACAGTCTCAAAGGCAACGTAACCAATCTGGCGAATTTCAATTTCAAATTTAACGTGCTATATTTGACCCTGTAACTTCCCAAAACACCATAATACATAAGGGGTACTGTTTTACACGTGAGACTTTGCTTTTACTGCAATAAAATACACATATTTGTATTCAAACAGTATTATGACATTGACAGTTAAAATGTCATGTAGAACTAAAATAAAAAAATTAAAAAAAATTTCGTATTTTCTACCATTTTTTCATATTAAATTATGTTTCATAGCTAAATATTTGATATTAAATGAAAGCCCTGTTTCCCCTGAATAAAATGATATATAATAAGGGTGGGTGCATTTAATATGAAAGAGGTGAATTACGGTTGGACACACATATAGCGCAAATGCCAGGTTTTGTTTACGTTTTGTTTTGGCTCAGTCCTTAAGGGGTTAATGTAACTGTGAAGCACTTTGGGCAACAACGTTCCAATTAAATGTGCTACATAAATAAATAATAACAGTTACTCTGCCCACTCCAGTTGTAGACTACTGGTGGAGGCAACAACACTTCAATTTCCCCAGAAAGTTTAGCTTTTCTAGTTACAGATTGTGCCTTTTAGCAGAAAGCAGTAAGGTGAATTGTTAATGTAGGACTTACCTAAGAGGTTTCCTTTGACAGAGTATGTGAGCGTCCACTAACATCCATTGGAGCGGTACTGAAAATCTGTTATTTAAATGAACTTTTTTTTTTTACTTTAGTTCTACAGGTTTTAAAGGGACACTATAGGCACCCAGATCACTTAATCTCATTAAAGTGGTCTAGGTGCAGTGTCGCTGTTCCCCTAAACATGCAATGTTAAACATTGCATTTTTATAAAAACTAATGTTAAGATTGCCTCTGGTGTTTGTCTACGAGACATTGTGTTCCTATAGTGTTAGGAATACAGCTTTGTATTCCCAAAACTATAGTGTTCCTTTAATATGTTTTTCATATTAAAAAAGTAAAAAAAATATCCTAAAATGACAAACATACAATTAGCCATTTCATTATGGAAAATTAGGTCTTTCCTGAGAAAAATGTACTAGGCACTTAATGGAACAATGTTCAACAAGCACAAAGTCAACTACCAAAACTAGTCATTATTAGACCACCTTTAAAGGACCACTATAGGCACCCAGACCACTTCAGCTTAATGAAGTGGTCTGGGTGCCAGGTCCAGGTAGGCTTATCCATTTTGCTGTAAACATAGCAGTTTCAGAGAAACTGCTATGTTTACATATGGGTTAATCCAGCCTCTAATGGCTGTCTCATTGACAGCCGCTAGAGGCGCTTCTCACTGTGAAAGTCACCAGCGTCCATAGGAAAGCATTAAGTCCTATGGACTGGCTGAATGCGACACTTGTAGCATCTTGCCGCGCATGCGAATTTCGGCCGGGGACGTCAGAAGAGGGAGGAGAGTCCCAGCGCAGAGGGAGCTCGGTGCTGGAAAAAAGGTAAGGGATTAACCCCTTCCTCCCCCTTCAGCGCCACGGGAGTGGGACCCTGAGGTTGGGGGCACCCTCAGGGCACTATAGTGCCAAGAAAACAAGTATGTTTTCATGGCACTATAGTGGTCCTTTAATCTAGGAATTAGAAAGTTTCACAGCTTGTTTGAGCTGTATCTGTGGAATTATGATGCATTGCTTGATTTCGCAGAGATATCAAAAGACAGACTAAATTACACTTTCTGGTCTATTTGGTAGCAAAATAGCAGGGAATTCCACTTGCACTTAAGTGAGCAGCAATTCACATACATTATTCACAATTATACGATGATTCTTTTCTTTGTCACATTATCTATTATGATAATGCACCCTTCAGCGGTAAAAGTACCCATTATGATTAAAGGTTATATTTTATGCAAAGACTTAATATAACCCCTGATTATATCTCTCTACAAGCAGTTTTGACAAAACAATGAAATTCTAGACATGGGTGGGTGCCCAGTCCAGGATATTTGGAAATGGCCAGGGGTAATCAACAAGGAAAATTCAATAAAGAATATGGCGTACTAGTGATAAAGGAAAAGGATTGTGCACACAGAAACATATGGGAAAAGTCCAGATACGTACCATACTATACCCTGCGCCCCAGATCCAATGGGCTTCAGGTTCTGATAGCGCTTAAGAACTGTAAAGGTGGAATCGCCTATCTCAAAGACTGAGAAGTTGCTATCACGTTTTCCACGGCTCATTGTTACACGAGCGTTCACCCCAACGGCTTCATCCAAACACGGATCTTCACGGTCCGAAACTACAAGAGAAAGAACACTTAATGAGTCGAATTCTAAATATCCAACAAGGCCTTCGAATAAATACAACAAATAATGCATTGTAATTTTATTGAATGAAGAAAGGGAGAACAGATCAGGGTAGCGAGCAACAAGCCGAAGCACTAAATCCAAAGGAGAGAGTGCCGGTCTGTACTCACAATCCTGTGTACCGCACGGAGACTCCAGGGGTCTCCTGGGGCTTAACCCCTATAAAGATAAGAAACACAACGAAAAAGATGCTACAAGTGTCTCAACTTAAAACAAAGTATGAGACCCTCTGCATCCCCTGGATATAAATGTGGCAATGTAGGAGTAAAAGAAAAAAGTATATACTGTGTATAAACTAAACCCCAACAGAATGTGAGGTCCTAAAGACCAAAAGAAAAAAAGAAAATAGAATATATACAATGAACTAGTGTCACTATCTCTCCAAAATGAGAGTAGGAGGAGAAACAATCTCACTGCTAAATCCAATGGAGGAAAGGATACTGGGAAAATAGAATAAAATAAAACTTTATTAAGATTTATTTTATTCTATTTTCCCAGTATCCTTTCCTCCATTGGATTTAGCAGTGAGATTGTTTCTCCTCCTACTCTCATTTTGGAGAGATAGTGACACTAGTTCATTGTATATATTCTATTTTCTTTTTTTCTTTTGGTCTTTAGGACCTCACATTCTGTTGGGGTTTAGTTTATACACAGTATATACTTTTTTCTTTTACTCCTACATTGCCACATTTATATCCAGGGGATGCAGAGGGTCTCATACTTTGTTTTAAGTTGAGACACTTGTAGCATCTTTTTCGTTGTGTTTCTAATTTTATTGAATAAATGTAAATTAACACCTATGGTGATATAACTCATTCACATTAAGAAAAATCACAGGAGGGTTTTTTCCCCCGTTTTTATAATTTAAAGAACATAATGCTAAATAAATTTCTCTCTATATGTCCAACAGTCAGAGGTCATAAGGTCCCGGAGGGCATGCCTTACTTGTGCCCCTCCCCCAAATCCATTTGATGTCCCTGACAGACTGCAGATCTCTGTCAAGGATTTTTATTTATTTCTTATTTTAGATGTGCACTGCTTAAAGGACCACTATAGTGCCAGGAAAACATACTCGTTTTCCTGGCACTATAGTGCACTGAGGGTGCCCCCACCCTCAGGGTCCCCCTCCCGCCCGGCTCTGAAAGGGGGTTAAAGCGTACCTTTTTCCAGCGCTGGGCGGGGAGCTCTCCTCCTCCGATCCTCCCCGTCGGCTGAATGCGCACGCGCATCCGGTCACATAGGAAAGCATTCATAATGCTTTCCTATGGATGCTGGCGTGCTCTCACTGTGAAAATCACAGTGAGAAGCACGCAAGCGCCTCTAGCGGCTGTCAATGAGACAGCCGCTAGAAAATAGGGGAAGGCTTAACCCATTCATAAACATAGCAGTTTCTCTGAAACTGCTATGTTTATGAAAAAATGGGTTAACCCTAGCTGGGCCTGGCACCCAGACCACTTCATTAAGCTGAAGTGGTCTGGGTGCCGAGAGTGGTCCTTTAACCCCTTAAGGACCAAACTTCTGGAATAAAAGGGAATCATGACATGTCATGTGTCCTTAAGGGGTTAAAAGGGATTCAGTTTTGCCAGGAAAACAATGTTCCTACAGTGCACCACTCCATTGCACACCCCCTTCCACGGCGCTGAAGGGGTTAAAACCCCTTCAGTAACTTACCTGAATCCAGTGTAGATATCCCTCGACGCTGGGTCAGGCTCCGCCCACACTTTTCCCTCGCTGACAGGGGAGACCTAATGTGCATGCACAGCAATGGCTGCGCTCACATTAGGATTTCCCATTACTCAATGCTTTCCTATTTTGGTGATGCTGGAAGTCCTCATGCATAGTGTAAGGACATCCAGCTCCATTTAGGCGACCAAAAGTCATCTAAGCACCCATAAGTCCCTCTACTGGCTGTCTGGTTGACAGCCACTTTTGGAGGAGTTAACCCTAGCAGGTAATTGCAGTTTCTGAGAAACTGCAATAGTTACCACTGCAGGGTTAAGGGACATGGTACATTGTACATTGTACACAGACAGGGCAGGTGCAAGGATTTGGGCCGTCCTAGGCAAAAAATAAAAAATTGCAACCCCATTCACTCCACAGTGGCCATGTAGGTTTAACCCAACAAGATATAACATTGCCTTACTTTGAAGGGTTAAACATGCTTCTAGTAGTCACACTGACAGCCACTAGATGCACATCAGCTGTTGGAAGTGCATAGAGCTTGCCACTTATGCGCATCATGTCACCGATGCTCCTGCATGAGGAAAGTTGGATTGGACCAGTGTTGTCCCATCAGTGACATTAACCCCTTAAGGACACAGCTTCAAAAACTGGACTTACCCTTAAGGACACAAGCATTTTTTGCTGTTTGTGTTCAACCTCCGTTTGCATTTTTGTTATTCATTGCACCAACACGTTATATATCGTTTTTTTAATGGACAAAAATTGCATTAATCTGGTGTGACATATACATATATAGATTCTTATTTATTATTAACAAAAGAAAAAAAATGCAGAAAAAAAAAAATCCCCCCACCCCCCAGTTTAGTCAATAATGTGTGCATAATAAGTGCATCTTAAGGAAATTAAAAAAATATTTAATTAGTTCTGATTTTCAGAGCACATAATATGTCTAGGATTTCAGCTTAAAGTTACAGGTCACAAAATACAAGGAGTAAAATAAAATTTTAATGTGGAGCTATTTTAGAATTTGGTATGTTTGTCTTGTAAGTTTAATAGCCATCACAGAAAGCAAAATTGCTGCACAAAAAGTATAAATTTATATAAAGCACATCACAGGCTATTTACCAAAGGGTATTCTGACACTTTTTACATAGCCATTTTGCCGCCAATCTCTGCTAAATAGTGTAGTAAAATTGTGTTTTCAGATTTCTAACATACACACATAAAACAAGGATTTTGAATGTGTATTTCATAAAGCTGATGTATACAACTGCGGTAGAAAACCCCATATTGTTTTCAGCCATTTCAACTGAGTAAAACGATACCCCAAATCTATGCCTTTGCCACTATCCTGTGAAGTCTGTGAGTGTGTTGTTTAGGGCTGCCTCCGATGGAGTTTCTGTTTGTAGCATGGAGTATAGAAAGGATACTCCGTGCGGGAGTGGGTCCTGGTGTGCGCAGACCGCCTCCAGTGTAGTCCGGTCTCTGGTGAGTGCTGATCCCTGTGGCAGGGCGAGGACGAAGTTGGTCAGCTGGGCGTATCTAAAGTGGTGCATGAAGGTGGGGGTCTCTCCCATCATATCTGTTAGTTTTTTTACATTTCTCTCCCTGAAGGATGTGGTGTAGGTGTGGTGATGTGGCTGGGAGGAGGTCTTTAAGAGCCCTTGGGTCATGTCCCGGTGGGAGGTCATTGTTGTGTGTCAGTGGTAGGAGGGGAGAGGGGTACGGTGACATGTTCCTGTTCCTCGAAGCCCTCCTCCACACTCTCAGGGTATGCTTTGTGTATATGGACATTTCGCCCCATCGGTCGTGTCGCGGCCCCAGGGAAGACCAGAGAGCGGCCTGCCCGCCTCCGTCTCCTCCACCGTCTTCCAGAGTTTGTGCACTCTGTCCTTCGACCACTCCATCACTCTCTGTAGGTACGTAGCCACGTAGTACAGTTGGAAGTCTGGGAGGGCCCCTTGTCCTTGGGTCGCATCAATGTGGAGAGTTTCATCTGGGCCTCCCTCCATTCCATACGTATCTAGTCATTTCTGTTCTGAGGGAGTAAAAAAAAAAAGAAGAAAGCCCCCTGAATCACGATGGGGATGGCTTGAAGAAGGTATAGGAGGCGTGGGAGGAAATTCATTTTTATGACTTGAACTCTCCCCAGCCATGATATATGCGGGAATGACCATTCCCTCATGTCGCTTTGGAACGTTTGTATGGGGCACTGACGCCATTACTATACACAACGGCATGAGGCAAGGGTGCCCCCTCTCCTCACTACTGTTCGTCCTTGCCCTGGAGCCATTCCTAACGCATATCCGATACAACAAGGACATAACCGGTCTGGAAACGGGCAACGTACACCACAAGGATGGAATGTGCTTTGTACGTCGCGTAGCCAGAACTTTGGCCAGTAGTTTAATATTGCAGTTTATAAGGGAGATTGGCCTTTAGTTCCCGCATTGTTCCATGTCTTTGCCTTCTTTGGGGATAACGGTGATGTGGGCTGTTAGGGCTTGTTTGAGGATATGGCTCCCATCCCTTACCGCGTTGAAGGCATCCACCATAGGTGGTTATAGATCTTCGGCATAGTTCTTATATTTTGTCGGTAGTCCGTCTGGTCCTGGGCTTTTGCCTGGTTTGGTTTGTTTGATGACTATTGCTAGTTCCTCTATTGTGATGGGTTCGTCTATTAACATAGCTACTTCTGCGTCTAGGGTCGGTATCGGGTGTTTTGCCAAGTACTTCCGGACTGATTTGCGAAGGCACGTTTTCGCCGATTCGGTTTGTGGTTGCAGAAGTGTATATAGCAGAGTAGTAAGTATTGTTCTCAAAATGTCTTTCGGGAGGCGGTGTAAGGTCCCTTGTTTGTCCCTAATCCTGTCAATATATGTTCGTTGTCTCGGTTTCTTCAGCATCGCGGCTAGGAGCTTGCCACTCTTGTTCCCATGTAGGGTAAAGAAGGCCTTATGTCTGATTGCATCCCTATGGTGTTTGGAGTGCAGAAGTGTAGCTAGTTCCCATCTCAGTTGTAGGAGTCGGGTTTGCGGTCTGGGGTGTGTTTGTTTTGTTCGTCTGTCCTGTGTATGTCGGCCAAGAGGTCGGTTAGCCGGGCTTCAGCTTGCTTCTTTAGTATTGCCCCCTTATCACGCTTTTGTGTGCTTCCCATCGAATTGTCGAGGATGTCTGCTCCGCTGTGTTAATTGCGAAGTATTCTCTGATTTTCTCGCCTATGAGGGCCGTGACATTCGGTTTAGAGAGTAGGTATTAAGTCTCTATTTCGAAGTCGTGGGACGGAAGAGCGGTGATTTGAGTTTAAGTGTTACTGGGGCGTGATCTGACCATGTTGTCACTCCGATTGTTACTTCGGTCACTAGGGGGAGGTCATAGTGTGTGGTGTATATGTGGTCTATTCGGGAATAGGAGTTGTGCGGGTGGGAGAAAAAGGTGAAGTCCCTTTCATCTGGGTGATGAAAGGCGTTGGATGCGGAGTAGGGACTTAATGTTCTGGAGTTGTTGTGCTGGGATATGGGAGGTGCCCGTTGAGCTGTCCCAGGTAGGGTCAAGTGCGATGTTAAAGTCTCCCCCAAGTATGAGGACCCCCTCCGTGAAATCTTGAAGTTTGCGAAGCGTCTGTTTGAGGAAGCGAAAGTGCTGTTTATTCGGGGCGTATATGTTCGCGATCGTGTACTGGTGGTCTGCAATTTTCCCCTAGGGGAATAGGTATCTGCCCTCATTGTCTGACATGCAGCCCCCCTCCTGGAACAGCACTCTCCTGTGGAGAAGTATCGCTGCCCCCCTGGCTTTTCCCCCTTGATAGTCACTGTAATATCCTTGTGTGTAGTGATGGTTGGTCAGTTTAGGTCTGGTCCCCTTTTTAAAAATGGGTTTTCTTG